GCCCCCCCCGGGAGCCGCCCCGCCCCCCGGGGAGTCCCGCACCGCACCATGGGGGGGTCCCACACCGCGCCCTGGGCCGTACGCCCAGGGGGCCGTACGCGGGGACCCCTGCCATCTGCCTGGGCGCCCACCCTTGGGGTGGGCAGCGGGGTGGGACCGGGGTAGCCTCCCTTGGCCCGAGCAGGTTGCCCAGAGCTGAGCCCCAGCCCCCGGGCAGCCTCTGCCGAGCGGGCAGCCCCGGGCTGAGCCCCCTGAGCAGGAGCGCCATCCGCCCGGGTCCACCTTAACCCGGGGCGAGCTGTGCCGCGGCTGCCCCGTGCCCAAGAGAGGCTCCTGCGGGATCACAGGGGCGTTTATCTTGCCCGGGATCAGCCAATATTTGTGGCCACGTCAGGAGAACAAGCCCTTCCTCGCTCTCTGCTCCTGCGGAGTCCAGCGCTGCCATCCTGCTGCTGTGCTCTGCTCTCCCAGCCCCAGCGCTGCTGTCCCGGTTTGACTTCGGCTTATCGGACAGTTGGAGGAACGCTGTTTGCCGAGACCCCCAAGCTGTCACCTCCTGGCACCAGAGATGACAGCCACGGTGGCTTTCCTGCTCCTGAGCCTTCTGAGGATGGCGACTCCCAAGGGAGTGTGGTGCCCAGCCTGTGGGCTGGCGGCCCTGGCCCCCACCACGCAGCGGGACGTCCTCATCGCGCTGGCAAAGCAGAGCATCCTCTCCAAGCTCCGCTTGCCAGACAGGCCCAACATCACTCAGCCCACGTCCAGGGGGGCCCTGCTGACCGCGCTCCGCAGGATGCGTGCGCAGCACATGGACACGGCCGTCTCCCCAGGGATGCCCCATGATGGCAGCATCCCACACCTGCGTCCTGGGATGGGTGTGCAGGAATATGAGATCTTGAGCTTTGCCGAGTCAGGTCTGTACAGACCCCGCATCCCATGGGCATGGTGGGATGGGCCCTAAGGTGGGGGGCACAGTGGGAAGGAAGGCCTTGCCTGGGGGAAGGTGGTGAGAGGTTTCCTCCTCTGCACAGGCATTTCAAAAGCTCTGCACAAGGGGCATCACGCTCCTGCAAGCAATGCCAGGCTATGCACCGGGCCGGTGGGCACACTGCTGCTGGAAGGACTGGCAATGAGAGGCACCATATCCAGAACCTTTGCATCCACGTCCCAAGCTTACCCCAACCAGCCGCTCCTCGCTACAGGCAGGGGAAGCACTACTAAGGCTCTGGGGCCCCTCTCGTTTACATATGGGACATGTTGGGGCAAGGGGGTGGGCGCAGGAGCAAAGATGGACTGCTGTATCATGTGAATTTGTTGTCCGTTTCTGTTGAACCCTCCCCACTTGTGCTAGAGGTGGAGGGGTCAGATGGCCATGTTTTTCAAAATATGATTTTAAGCCTAGGTTCCCCAACAGCTCACAGTGTGTGGACTTAGGTCTCCAAAGCCCATCTGCTCCCCACACGCAGCTGTGTCTCCACTTCCTACCCGAAGTGGTGGGCTGCCACATTTCACTCCAGAATCAGCTGCATTCCTGGGAGGAGAAAGCTCTCCCAAAATGTGCTCAGGGGTCCTGACAAGTACCACTGGAAAAACAGGGTCCTGTACCCCCCACTTCTCCCAGGCAAATGCAACCTTCTTTGGAAAGAAGCAGAATCACCGCTCCATCCTGCAGAGCATCCTTCTGCACCATCACTTTGCCCAGCCCAGACTGCTGCTTGATGACGTGTGGGGGGCACACACTCCCCTTGCAGGCCTTTGTATGGTTTGCATGCCTGCTGTGGGATGGCGAGGGCTTGCCATGTCCTTGAAGACGTCTGGGAACAATGCTCCTCCACAGTACATTGTGTTCCCATACATGAGGACAATGGGGAGTTGTCTCCTGGCTCAGTGGAGTGTCTGCTGGAAGTGGAAGAACCAGCGTGAACCACAGGGCTGAGCCCAGTCTCTCGCCCTGCTGCGCTGTGCCAGACCACAGAGGAGGGGGGTTGTGTCCTCACTGGCAGAGCTGTGCCAAGGAGCCCAGCGCTGCTCTCACGGTCCCTGTCAGCCCTTCCTTCGCGAGGAGGAGAGGCGGCTCTGCAGCCTCAGCAGCAGCAAGGGTGGGACATGCTGGAGCAATGCCAGGTGATGCTTCCAGCCATGGGAAGCAGAGGTAATCCTGGAGGTACAAATCAGCGTGACTGCCTTAAATCCAAGGCTGGTTTACACAGCCAGATAACCTACTCCAAAATCCTCCAGCGGCTTCACTGACAAGGGTGTTTCAGGCCAGAGGAGGTGGAACCAAGCCGGGTTGCTGCATTCAGCACCGGGCCCAGATGCTGCTGCTTTAGAGCGGGATAAGAAGGAGGAGCAGCAGCAGTGCAGGGAAGTGGGGGCCCCTCGACACCTGTATGTACTGCGCCCTGCTCCCTGGTTTGGATATACCTCCCATTTGTTCCAACTCAGTGGCCCCCAGCTGCGGGAGCCCCTCCCTCCTCCCTTCACCCCCTGACTCTGCTTTCGGTTCTGTGCACAGGGTCCTCCACCTCCCGCAGCATTCGCCTGCATTTCCACTTCACACGGGAGCTGGCTGGGAGCACCGAGATCCTGCAAGCCACCCTCTACCTGTTCTGGGCAGTCCCCGGCCCCGGGACACATCCTGTCACCGTCAGACTCTTGCAGCCAGACCTGACGGGGCTGAACATGACCGTGGCCAGTGAGACACGGCTGGAGGTGCAGAGGGCCGGCTGGGCCACGCTGGACGTGGGCCAAGCTGTCCAGAGCCTCTTCAGCCAAGGGAGCCAGAGGCTCACTGTGGAGCTGGAGGTGGCAGAGGACTGGGGGTCTCCCCTCCTGGCTGGCCACAGTGATTCCCACTGGCCATTTGTTGCAGCCCAGGCCCGGGCCAGGACGCCCCATCGGGTCCAGCGGCGTGGCATTGATTGCAGTGGGGACTCTCGGATGTGCTGCCGCAAGGAATTCTTCGTAGATTTCAAGGAGATTGGCTGGGAGGACTGGATCATCCAGCCAGAGGGATATCACATGAACTACTGCGCCGGGCTCTGCCCCCTGCACATGGCTGGCATCCCTGGCCTCGCCGCCTCCTTCCACACAGCTGTCCTCAACCTCATCAAAGCCAACAACGCGGACGCAGCCGTGGACTCCTGCTGCGTGCCCACGCAGCGTCGCCCTCTCTCTCTGCTCTACTATGACCGGGACAGCAACATTGTTAAGACCGACATCCCCGACATGATTGTCGATGCCTGTGGTTGTACCTGACCGGCTGCCTGAGGAGGCAGGAGGGCAGGACCTGTGCTGCACAGGGCTCCCCTCCTCCCGGCCCCTCTCTGGCAGTGCGAGAACCATGCCAAGGTGTTTTCTTCTCCTGAAGTTGAAGCATCAAGGGTGATGCTGAATCTGCAAGTCCTCTCCTCCCTCACCTCCCACATGGCTCTTTTCCCCCTTCAGATCTGCCCATGGATTCCTCTCTGCCCATGAGCCACGGCCTCTGAGACGGGCTCCTGATGGACACCAGACACTTCTACCTGCAGGACTCTGCAGAGCATGACTCCCCGAGCAGCTCAGGGCAGCCCTGGCTCACCCTGCTGCTGGTCCCAGACCAAGGCCATGGTGCAGCCCTCAGTGCTGCAACACAAACGTGTGCTCTTCAGGTAACAGGTCCCAGCAGTGGCCACCTCAGGCTGCTGGGGGAGATAGAAGCCGAAAAGATGCTGGGGGATGGCTAGGCCACAGGGGAGAGAGCCATCCACGGGGCCCCACTCCTCAGCTGGACATGAGGTTGAGGGGGGTGAGGAAGGGGAAACTGATCCCAGTGGGAGGAAAGTGTCTCCCTCTCCAAGCATCCCAGCTACCTGGTATTCAATAAAAGACTCCCAGCCATAGTGTGTGCACATGTATGTGTACACGTGTGCCCTGTCATTAGCCAGCTCATCTTCCACCTCTCCCCAAGGTGCAAGGTGGTGGACGTGCCCTAGCACAGACAGCTCCAAGATGGCACAGAACTGACCCACTCTGCCATGTGCAGTCCTCTTCTAACCAACGACTTGGTTATAAAACCCAGGCAGCGAGGTTAGGCACCCATCACCAGGATGCACTGTGCCCAAAGACTACAGTGCTGCTGGCCCCCACAGCTCTCATGCTCTCTGCCCCTTGGCTGCCTTTCCCAGGGGGATGCAGAACCCCTGACTTGTCTCAGCTGGGTCCAGGGCATGGTATGGAAGCCCCCAGACACAGGGGGCTTGTGATTCCTGCTGGGGAAGGTACCATTCCTTGGTTGGGCCAAATTTTCCATTCCACCAAAACCATCAGTATTTGGCCATTCTTGTCCCAAATCAGGACAGAACTGAGCAACTCTTCTCCCTTTTGAAGTGGACAGAGACTGCTAGGCAAGACCGCCAAAGCCATGGTGCCCAGGACACCCACCCTTGCCTACAACCCCACGCCAGCTCCCTCACTGGGGAGCAACCTCTCAGCATGTCTCTGGCCCGTGGCCTGGAGCAGCTGCCCCCTTCACTGCGCCTCACCAGCCTGGCTGGCGGCAAAGTGGGACATGTCAGTGCCGTGAGAGCTGGGGGCAAAGGGCAGCTCTGACACATCAGCTCCATTACGTAATCTTGTGTTAGGGTTTCTCCACTGCTTCCCACATGTCCCCCATGTGTGAAGGCTGAGAAAGCAGGGAGAGGGTGCTGGGGGTGGGAGAGGGAGGTTCACGAGGGGAGCTCCTGGGGCAATCCCCCGAGGTGCATGCAGCTGGCTGGGGTGGAGCTGGGTGACCACAATGCCGTGGTCCACCCTGCAAGCACTGACGACCCCACCCCAGAGGCTGGAGACAGAGCTGAACCAAGCGGGAAGTGGGTTGGCAGAGAGAGGAGGGTGGTGCCAGACCCTCTCCCCATCTGGCTTGAAGGACAGCTTTGCATGTGCTGTCCCACTCCAGGATCAGGCAGGGGTGGTCAGAGCCATGAGCAGCTCTGGCTGGAGTGGGGACCAGGATGCACATTGCCCCGGAGGACCTGTGACACAGGTCATGGATGTGCATGGATGGAACAACCACTAGCAGGAGACAGCATTTGCCCACATTGCATGCATCCTGAGGCAGGCGCTCCCACCGAGCCCGGCTGGAGCTGGGATCCGCATCTCCCCATCAGGTCACAGCAGCCACTGTGCTGAGATCCGGGCTTCCAGGCCCTGGTGCCTCCAGGACTCAGACCTGAAGGGTTCGCGCTGACCCAGCTGCTGCACAGGCAGGGTGGAAGACTCGGGGATCAATACTGTCTGGGACCCAAGGCCACTTGCGCAAACTCAAAGAGGGTTTGGTGTTTGCTTTTTTCTGTTTTTTTCCCTTCTTTTTCCAACGCCTCTTTTCACTGTCTGTATTTATTGAACAAACAGCTTTCCTGGGGCCAGTGCTGAGCTCTCTAGGCTGCTGCAGGCATGGGCAGAAAGGGGCCGAGTGAAGGGGCAGAGGAGTTGTTGGCTGGGCCCTGTGGTCCTATAGATGCCTCAGCTCAGGGCAGCACAAGCCCGAGACCCTGAGCTGAGGCATCTGTAGGTGCTGCAAGCCTTCAAGCAGTGCTGGAATGCCCCCAGTTCCCCTTCTTGGCCTCGCAGCACTCCTGCTGGCCACTTCCCCCACTCCCCACAGGGCTCAGAGCAGAGCAGGGCCGGCTGCTGGCTGCACAGTCCCTGCAGGGCACAGGTGCCTTGCCTGAAATGGTCCCCTCTCGCTACCTGCTCCTCAAACCCCAGCTCTGCCCTTTGCTGGGCTGCACATGCGCTCTCTGGACACCACAGGACACACAGCGGGCTCTCCCTGCCAGCCCTGTGGGGACACTGCCCCCTGCCCTCAGCCACAGGGATGGGGGGCATCTCCTGGTCCAGACTTCCCTGGACCTATGAGTTGTCACCATGTTGCCTTCTGTCACCTGGGCTATGGTACAGCCAGCCCAAGCCCCACAGGGCAGCTGCATCCCAATGGACATGAAGGTCCTGCTGATTCGGGGTGCCTGGGTTAGCAGCAGCTCCCCCAAGAAGGGTCCTAGTCTCTGAGGCCCCTCCCTGTCCCTGGCAGCTTGAGACTAGGGCAGAACACATTGTTCTGGGGGTTTGCCAACCACCTGAAAACATGCCTTCTCCGGTGCCTTCAGGTCAGAGGTTCCCCAGATGAGCAGCATCCAGGGTCCCGCAACACAGGCCCTCCTCTCCATGCATGCAGCTTGTCCCACCCCCACAGAAAACAGGACACCTGGGTGCAGCCTACAGCCCCTTCCCCACTTGCAGCATGGGGCAAGGGTGATCAAGATTCAGGAATCCCATGGTGGCACTCCCACCTGGGGAACACTGCAGGGTGAGGAGGGTGCAGTCAAGGAAAGGTGATCCCCTGGAGCCAGGCACAGACCCCTCCCTGCCTGCCGTGGGGCTGGCCCAGGGCAGGGGCCCACGGCGGGCAGGGCCCCCCAGCACACACAAGGAGCTGCTCAGCCCCCACAGCTGGTGGCCCAGGCAGGAGCTGTGTATTTATAGCCCTAACAAGCTGCACATGGAAAAGTGACTATCTGGGCTTCACCACAGTCCTGGCTTATTTTGCAAGTCTTCTCCCTCATCAGCGAAAGTAATCTTGGTGTAAGTGTGAAGGCAGAGTACCAAGTCAGGCTCTTCAGGAAGCAGAACAGAAAACCTGAGAGGAGCAGGATGCAACTTCCCACTGGGCATCCACTCCTCCTTTGCTGGTGGGAAAAGAGCAGGGATGAGGGTGGTGTTCACGTTACAGTGTCCCCTCTCCCCCTGCTGTGACACCACACTTCTGCTGGGGTCCCCTGTTCACTCAGGGGGCTTTGGAAGGGGTGTCTCAGGCAGGCATGCCCAGCTGCCGTGAAATACTGCTGCACTGGTCCTGCTGGGACCAGTAAGCCTGGTGGGGAGCCCCCCCCCCCCCCCCCCCCCCGTCCCCCCAGTCTGGCACAGCATGGGAGATGCCATGCAGACAGCATTGACACAGCACTTGGGCTGTGCCAGATCTGACACGGGGGAACACAAGGCTCCACGAGGTGCTGTCCCCTCGGCCTCTGCTCTGGGAGGGGATGGGGATGTGCAGCTGCTGCCGGTGGCTCCTGGAAGGAGCCTTTGCCAGTATCAACAGACCCTGAAGCAAAGGTCCAAGCACGGTGTGCCAGGGCGTCCCTTGGCAGGGCCTGGCTCTCAGGGGAGGGGTGGGAATTCCTGAAAGCCCCTGGTGTTGCCTTATAAAGGGCTAATTTTTAATTTTCAGTCTCACGGGCAGTTTCCAGCCAGCAGCCCCCGGCTCGGAGACACCCGGCGATCCACGCTGGGCGGCTGCGGCTCGGCTGGTACGAGGTGCCGGTCCCC